TGGCGCGCGAGGCCTTGTCTACTCACAGGTGCGCGTGGTCATGCAGTAGGAGACCATGGACGGACAGTGCATGGGGTTGAAGCAGTTCTCGCCGTTGTAGGCGCAGACGTGGCAGTCCAGCGCTTGGGCTGGGGGCGGGGGCGGGACGTCACCGAAGGACCCCTGTCCCCTCCCCAAACTGTAAGGAGAGAAGGGATGCCGGCCTCCCCTCCCCACACCGCCCACAGGCCTGTGTCCTCGTAGGTCTGCCCAGCCACCTTACCCAGAGGTAGGGCCAGCAGCGCTAACAGCGTCACGCCAACCAGGGAAGTCATAGCTGTGGCCAGAGGTCGCGAGAGCGAGTGTTGGCTGATGCAGCGGTCCGGATGCAGTTCAGGGGCGTGGGGGGCACAGAGGATCCAACAGCGCACTGTCCACTAGGCTCTCCTGCCCCGAGGAAACAGAACATACAGAGGAGGGTCAGGTGTGGGGGTGGCCAGAGCAGTGCCTAACTGGGGCTGGAGGTGAGGGGTGACACTGAGGTGGGCCTGTGGGGACAGTCTCACCAGGAACGTGGCTGGTGGGGAGTGGTCTAGGTGAGTCCCAGAGGCGGCGCACAGTCCAGCAGTTAGGGCTGTGACTGCCAGGGCGGCTGTAGGGGCTGGCCGCTCACGCCCCTCCCTGGGAGACCCCCCGAGAGGGCAGGGCTGAGTCCGGGGGAGTCTGGGTCCCTCCTGGAGGTCTCTGGCCCTAGCCTACGGCCCTAGCCCTCAAGTCTGAGTGTCCTTGCTGGGTGGCCTGCAACAGCGCTTGGAAATCGTCCGGGAAGCGCACTAGGGCCCCACGGCAGCCACAAGGCCCAGCGTGGGGCTGGGGGGCCAGAACTGCGCCTCCCTCTTTCCAGGGCTCACGGGGTCCTCCGTCCCCTTGCCAGGGGCCCAAATTCAACTTCCCTGGCTGAGCACTGGGGCCGTCTCTCCTAACCCACTCCCTGGGCGTCAACCCCAGAATGCCCGGCCCATTGTGTCCAGGCCTGGAGGCCTCTCGCCCCCGCCCAGGGCCCCGCCTCCAGGTCTGCGGTTCCGAGCCTGGGAGGTCTGCCGCGCGGGTGTCAGAGCTGACCTCGCCGGTGACCTTCACCGCGCTGCGCCCCGCCCGCGCCCCGCACTCACCCAGCCGCCCGCCGCTCCCGGCACCACCCTGCTTGCTCGTCCGCCGT